ACATACATGTCGTTCACTAACTAGAATTAAGCTTTGCGATGAGTGAAGAAAAACTTAATAATTCAGATTATGATCAGTAATAGATTCAGTCCCACAGACAAAGCATAGTTAATAGCATGAAATAGAAGAAATCAAACTCAAATCAGGAGATTAAAGGAACTGCTTCAGATGTTTTGTATATAAGTGTTTTTGCAAGGACTAATCTTTATACAGTCTCAAACAATCTTTTTCAACAACTTCAGTTAAATGTCAAGATTTTTGAGCTTAATTTAGAAGGTAACTCAACATTGTTAGGAACTAACTTCACTAATTCCATTCATGCCGTAAGCCTAACAAAGAACAAATACTAAACTTCCATCAAATGCATCGTCATATGCAAGTATAATAACTCTGAAAATTTTTCTGAACTCACTGATGGGGTTTTTTATTTTCTCTGTTTGTTTGTTTGCCGCTAAAATAATTCATTCAACTGTTATTATCAAAAGTATACACAACTTTAAAGTGGCGTTTGAGCGTTAAAAAATTTGTCATTAATGCGTGTGTGCAATATTCATCAGCATTTCGTTTATCTTATTTAGTTTAACTCTTTAATTATTGTTCTTAATTTTTCAATAAATGCAGCATAAGTATCTTAAACAGTTGTTACAGAGTACACATGGAAATTATATAAATAAATCTGACAAATATCTGAAATTTCATGGAGTTCATAAAATCAAAAGATGTATGCTTGTAAATTACTCTTTACTGCAATAAAGTGAAGAAATTAATTCAAGAAATTCGATTAACATTTTAGTTAATGTAAAGTTTGTTAATTTTATAACAAATAAAATTAACGACAAGTAGGCATTTAGGTATAGTGAAATTTCTTAACAATCATAGTAAGATTTGGAAATTTCTTAACAATTATAGTAAGATTTGAGAATTTTCAAATTTTGGGAAGAAATTCAATTAAGAATTTATAACAACTGATAAAGCACGTTTTTTCTAATAAAAAACTTTTTCTAATTTGTAAGCTCAAAGCAAAATAAGAAGCACTAGAAGTTGTTTTTCTGTGTGATCAAACACGTCACACGTGTAATATAGTTAACAATCATTATCTCTTTCCTTCCACAAAACACTTGTAATTTCAGGCTGTTTCCAACAACTAAAATTTTTATTTCGTTCCGTTTCACTTAGTCACTGAGTGATATGTTTTGTAAATGTTCATATTTCTGCAATGAGTCCTTTAGTTTCAGCACTACTTCAGTGTTTCCAAATAAGATTTATTTGACATGAAGAATGATGCTTTGATTAAGCAGATTAATCAAGAGTGAAAATGCATAAATATCCTTAACTATAGTCGGAATTTGTAATTAAAAGATATTAGTACTCAAAAGTTGAAATTTAAGTATATCAGGGAAAAAAAGTAAAGAAACTTGCATCTATTTCTTTTTTAACATATTCCCATTATTTGACAATTTTGTCATAATTTCAGATATTGCAAAAGGATTTGCTGGTAAAAGTAATATTGCTATTTGCCATGGAATATTTGGCCTAGAAATCTTCAGAGCCATGGTTTTTGTTGCTTTCCAGATCTACATAGATCTTGTAATTGTTTGGAAAGCAGCAAAACTCATGGCTCTGAAAATTTCTAGATCAAATATTCGATGGCAAATAGCAGTGTTACTATTATCATAATCATTTGATTTATTTATTAGCATGTTACGAACTGGTTATTTGTGATTTATTTGACTGTATGTATATCTTATAAAACACTGCATGCAATTTTTTATTTTATGTTAATTTTTATCATTTTAAAAAGGCAGAAATATTTGCATCAATTAAAAATTTTCAATTAATGCTTCTCATTTGTATTTCGCTTTCCAGTTTTTATAGAACGATAAGAATCTTTTGTCACCAGAAGAATAATTCTGAATTTTCTGGACCTAAATTGCTGCTTGAGAAGCTGAATTTTTAAATTTTAGGGTAAAAGCAGATATAATACAATATTCTTGCACTTTTATCAATTGATATCAGTGTAAATAATGTAAAGAATGCTTATTTTTCATGGGAGAGAAAATTATATGGCCGAAAATAAAAATACAAATAAAAATAAATACAAAATGAAAGTACAAAAATTTTAGTGATTCTGTAAAATTTTTAGCTAGACGAAATATTTATTTTTTCAAAAAAAATAAAAACTGTTATGAGTGTTAAGAATGATTTAAATTTCAGTACGTGCACATATTTTATTGAATTATACTAAAAGTGCCCAAAGAGAACTGTGCATTAACCAACTTTATAAAGTGAAAATTGTTTTTTCACAGTTTTGATAAAAGGCTTTTTTCAAAGTATTTTTTGACTTTACTATAATGAAGATTGCGAATATTAAACAATTAATCAGCAGTTAAAGACAGGCTAATTCTATTCAAAGGATTTGGCCACAGTTCTGAATAACAATTTTTGCAGTGGTGCGTCCTTTTTGTGCTCCATATCCTTCGAGAATTCCATAAGATTCTAAGCGATCTAATGTATCGAAGCCATCTATCAATTTTCCAAATACTACATGATAGTCATCCATCCTGCACAATTATTATGCATCCACAAAAAATAGAAAGAAAAGATAGTTTTGTCTTTATCTTTAATATGTTCTAAAGGAATTGCTTGAAAATTTTTTAAATTTTCAAGCTTTCATCTACTTATTCAAAAACAGTTTGCTAGCTATTATACTTTAGTGAATTGCATTAACAACAATAAAAAGTATCATTTACCATGGTGTTTCATCGAAAGTTACGAAGAATCGTGAGCTTACAGTATTTGGCCACCCATAATTATCCATTGATAAAATTCCACGACTGTCATGTTTTAAGATAAAATTTTCATCTTCAAAATATTTTTCATCAAATATTGAATGCCCTCCTTTTCGATTAGCATTATTTGTTTCAAAATCACCACTCTAAATTGCAGAGTAATACCAGCCAAAATTAGATTCATTTAATATCAGCTCAGCTTAATTATCCAAAATTTAATTTTTTGCTGTTTTGCTCAATTAATTAATTCACCCTTGCAAATTTTTTTAGTACTGAACTTCATTTGTTTTGAAAAACAAATAAGTTAATATAATTGATGAAAGCTGGATGTATTATCTTAAATAAAAATTATTGACATAAATAATGATGTATTTAATTAAACAAGGTACACATGCGCAAAATCCAGGGATAACACGATAGAAGGAGCATCCTTTATAACCAAATCCTTTTTCACCCGTGCTTAGTGCTCGGAAATTCTCGCAGGTCTTCGGACAAATATCATCTCTTAACTGAAACATTACAGAATTTAGCACAGTTCGAAATAATGTCAATTATGCAAAATATCGTTATTAAATTTTGCTGAAAATGTAATCCTTATCATATTTAAACCGCCAGAATATTAGAACTGCCAAAAATTTAAATGCTTAACCAACATTTTGACAATTAGATTTGGTGTGCATTTTCAAAAGTAAGCAAATTTTTTTAAAAGGATTAAAATTTAGAAGCCAATCTTTGAAAGGTTTGAAATGAAAGTAGTGCCAAACAGAATTTTTACAATTATTATTATTCAATATTCAATTTTTAAAAATTTGCTTGAAAGTACTGTGATTCGAACACAAAAATTAAAATAATCCTCGTTATTTCCGAAGCCAATTTTTTTGAAGTCAAGATAGCTGACCTGAAAGACAAGTTTTCCAATTGGTGTATTATCGGCAGTTAAATCAAGAAAAGTTCGGAGGGTAGTGGTTGAAGACATCAGATTTTCTCGTAACTGAGTATATGATATTCACAGGATTTATTTGTTCTTCAATTTGCCAGAATATTAGCGTAATTGTCTTATTTATAATGCCAATTTTAGCAGTAACTTTTCATTAATAATCCCTACTTTTTAAACTTTGCCAATTTAATAATGTTAATAAAATATGAATATGTCGATTTCTTATTTTCTTGTGAAATTATTAGCAGAGTTAACTATGAAGTAATTGATTCAATTATGGGTAAGAGATAAAATAATATGTTTACAATTTCACATTGGCATCTGTATAATTTAAAAAATAATGAATTAAATTGCTTATTATTCAAAGTTTGCAAACTTTTCTTCGTCTTGAAAAAAATATGAATAACTTAGTGCAAAAATTAAAACTTCCTATTATATTCTTTGATTTCATGCATGAATATGATATTAAATTTCGTGACCTTTTAATGACCATTACTCATAGGTCATTATTTCATGGCGGCAACATATGGTTAATACTGTCAAACGATGGATGAAAATGATTGCCCACTAAGTCATTCCTTCATTAATCCAAACTAATAGAAAAATGCAATTATTTTCTCGTCTTATTATTCTGTTATTAGTTTATGACTGGTCATTATAAATATTGTTCCAAATTAGTTAGGATTTATGCAAGTAAAATTCAAATTTGAAAGTATAAATAAAATTTGATTGCAATGAATTTTAAAATTAAACTTTTATGGCAAATTTTACCAATAATTTTAGCTAAGAAAGTATGTTTTTATTATAATTTTAGCAATAAAATTACTTTCAAAATATTGATAAAAACATATATTTATTGCGTGAATTTCTGTCTCATTTCCATTGCATAGTCAAATTTTTAATAGGAAAAGTTTGTAATCACTGCTAGAGCATCTAATTCATTCGAAATTAATTAGTTGCTTTTAGAAAAAAAGATGGAGAAAGTGCAGTGCAGTCAAACTAAAGAGCTTTCAAATACAAACAGCGATTGGGGCGAAATTAAAATTAACCAAAACTCACTTTGCAATACCGAAAATCTCAATTCTTCACCAAAAAAACGACGAAGGCGCGATAGTTTTTTAGAAGCGAAGTCTGCTTCTCATAATTATTTTCTCAAAAGTATTGAATTTTAACAAAGGAAATTCATATATGCAAATGACTGCACAAATCTAATCCTTTAATAATTAGTTGGCTATGGAAGCAGTTTTCAAGGCAACAATCCTAGTAGAATTCAAATTTTTGTGAATGCCATTAAATTTGATTTAGTGTGGCAAAACAATTACATTTTTGGCATTTTTTCTATGATATTTATTTTGTGCATAAATTTATTTTAGAACTAAAATTCATGAATTACTACGAAAGAAAATGTGTTATCGTATTCATCGTTACGATGTACGTGCAGCTGATGAAAAAGCAGTCAAAATGGAGCAAAGGTTGACAAGGTTGAATTATGATGCCATCATTCATACATCAGTTCATCGTACTATGTGTCGATAGAATACCAGCCAAATAAGTCCAATTCAACGATTTACAAAAACCAAAAAAATGGCAACAGCTAACTGTTGACAGATGAATTCCTTGCTTTTGTGACTTTTCTAATTCTGTTTTCGCAGAGGTGACTAATTCGATTCAACCAACATCGAACTAATTTAAGACTGTAATAATGTCAAGTATTTTACAAATTTCGCGCTATTTTCATATTTAGTTTCGTGCTTATCGCCTCCGTCGCTGTTAAATAGTCACTGCTTTACACTTATTCACTGAATTATAACATGCAATATAATTATTTTGTTTATTTTTTAAGAAAAATTTTTTTGTCTTATTTATATATGCAATATTTGTATTTTTTGGTATTTTTGATGTTGTAACCATTTATTTGCATATTTTTTGTTATTTTAAAGTGCAGAAATGCAACATTGCGTGGAATAAATAGCCAGCAATAAATATGACATTAGAATCTTTTATACATATCTTTATCACTGAAACATGCTATTCATTGCAAGGATATTCAAGCGAAATTGATAAGCTTGGAACAAAATTAGTGCAATTTAGTGTTCATTTATATTACAATTATTATGTTCCATTCATAGATTGATAGATTTTAATATGATGTTAGAAATTAAAAAATTCATAATCATACTCTACAATAATATTTAGTTAAAGTAATTAAGTCAAGAGAAGAGTTAACTCTGATTATTTTTCTACAAACTCAAAATCCACTTCTCGTCAGCCACAAGTTATCAACATTGCACTAAATCATTCAACACTTCTAAAATATACTCTTGTCGAGAAATAATAATCCCTGTATTCACTTTCGTTGCTGTTCAAATTTCAAATAGGGTTATCGGTGAAAAGTCAGTGATTTATACAAATTTTCTATAGTTTGAATCATTTCTTAATGATTCAAACTATAGAAATGTGTATAAACCGAAATAATGTATGTATCTTTTCACTTTCCTTTCTTAATCACAATTTTGTGGTCACAATATTAGCAGTAACAAAAATAGAAGATTTGCTTTAAAAAAAAGATTCATCATAATTCTTCTGCTTTGTGAGTTTTCTGCTTATAAGCAAATTTTTTTATCTCTTTTTTATTCAAGAATTAAAATGAAAAAACTTTCGGTTGATTAAATATTCTATGCGCGTTCTGGAAGTTGTGGATCAATATGAGTGAGATTCCATAGTTTTCACTGAACAGATTGCATTTCAGAAACAATGCATAGCTTATTATCCATAATTTTAGAAAATTATGAATAATTAGCTATGCATTAAGTATTTCAGCCAAATCGATCACTGCATTGATATTTATTCATGTTTGTCTGAGCAGATTAATATGGGAATGAGTTGAAAGTTAATTAATTATTCAAATC